GAATCAACTAAAGAGGCAAAAACCTCCCTAAGAAAGAGGACTGACCTTCTGAGCTTTTGCCCCTCAGGGAATATTAGTTTCACCTTTCCTGCTAACGTGATGGCAACCAGGCTGGGAACTTGGGATAGATTATTTATTCAGTGTGACAGCCTCTCCTCCTCTTTCTCTCCCTCCTACCCTTTACCCGTGACCTTTCCAGACTCTTCAAGGTTTCGTAAAACAAATGTCATCAAAGAATCAGACTTAGGTGGTTAGGCATTGATCACCTGAGTTACCTTTGTTTCCCTTTGTCTCAGAAAACAAAACTAAACAAAACACCCCACTCAAACAAAAAACCACATTTAAACATTTCCCAGGCGCTCTTTACCTATAGAAATTAATGGCAGCAACAGCAGCCTTTTAAAAATGTTAAATTATCTCACTGATTCTCAGAAAAAACAAAAGTGCTGTAGTTCCAACTGCCTGTGTGGTAGAAAGAAAGATGAATTCTTGAAAAAGGCCGGTTGAGTACAGCTTTCTCTTGTTAAAAGAGAGATTACTCAATGGGAACTGAAAGATCACAAATCTGCTTTTGGAACCGAAAGATAGAGTTATAATACCTTCACAGAAATAAAACCTCCTCCCTCATTGAGCTACTCAAACATTGCACTGCTTGAATAATGTGCTAAGTTAAGTAGGGAGGCCTGTGATGCAGTAATTACCCCAAGGAGGCTGCAGGGAAAGGAAAGTACATTCCAGACACCTAATCATTTACAATTGAGTTTAATGAGGTAGTAATTTACAGCTTTGGGGGTGGAAGTATGGAAAGGTCCCTGCCAGTAACTGGGCAGACTCTTTTAAAATCCTGAAGTTTAATGAAGGCATTGGAGGGTGGAATCATGCGGCCAACCTTGTGTAATTCCATCTGCTCTGTGCTTGGACAGGAAGTAAATGACAGGGCACTTGGGACCTACATCTGGAAACAACATGTTTCAAAGGATTTTATAAATCCTGAAGTAAAAGAAGAAGAAGAAGAAAGAAGAAGAAGAAGAAGAAGAAGAAGTAAAACAGAGGTGAAAGGGCATAGTTATGCGGGGGATGGGGAGGCACAACAGAGAAGGGTCAGTGCAGGTTCTTTTTAGTTGGAAGAAATAACATTTTCTAATCTCATGGTCAGTCATTGATAATAATTGACAAAGCATGCTCACCAAGCCCTGTATGCAAACACAATGGACTGAGCTTTCCTTTTTGGATAGGATTTGGGTGAAGACTACAAAGCAGTCCAGGTCCACTGAACTTACCCGAACACCCCTTGTCAGTCTTTCAGTAATGTTGCTGGCACCTTCTTTACTGTCATTACTGAATGGTTCATAATTTACTGGGTTAATTGAGTTTTTTTTTTTTCAACATTTATTTTATTTTTTGGGACAGAGAGAGACAGAGCATGAACGGGGGAGGGGCAGAGAGAGAGGGAGACACAGAATGGAAAACAGGCTCCAGGCTCTGAGCCATCAGCCCAGAGCCCGACGTGGGGCTCGAACTCACGGACCACGAGATCGTGACCTGGCTGAAGTCGGACGCTCAACCGACTGCGCCACCCAGGCGCCCCTCATTGGTACTTTTTAAATGCAGCTAGCACATGAAGGGGGTTTATCTTAAAGAGGCAGAAAAGGCTCAAGGCACAATTACAGAGCACGGGGGCAAAAAGTAGCTACTAGACTGGCTTTTCAGTAATCATACCAATGATGGACATATACACAAATCAGGATTTGATAGTGTTTTCTTCTCACTAGGGATGGCTGTTCTTCATATTTTATTTTACGTTACCCCGTTTCAACTCTCCCAAAGCAAGCCTCGTGCTCCCCAACATCCAAATCCTCCAAAACACTCACCTGTTTGTAGCCAAGTTTTCTCATTCTTCTCTAGATGTTTCTGAAAGTAGGGAAGAAAGTGGATGGAATAATGAGAGTAGATGAAATGAAATAGAGAAGAGTCATTACATTTCTTGAATTTTAAGAGCATGGATCCAGGTTCAAACTCCTCTTTCCAGCAGTCTATCACAAAATATTTAAGAAGGTATTATGTGCCTATGCGCCAGGCAGGCGAGTGGTGTTAAAGGGAAACCAGACTTACAGCAATCGATGCTACTTATCATGATCACAATCACATTCATAATTGAAATCAGTGCTTGAGCATTTACCCCATGGTAGGTGGTTTCTGTGTATTGTTTTTTGATACTTTCTGAAAGTATGAAACAGGCCATACTTTTATCCCATTTTGCAGATGAGAAACCAGAGGCTCAGAGAAGTAAATAGCTCAAGGATAGGCAGGATAATAAGTAGAATGGAGAACTCAAACTCAAGTCTCTGATTGGAGAGCCTGCAGTCTTAATTCCTTTGTTATAGTGCCTTCAATGTTATATGTTTGGATATCAGATTGTAGGGACTTTAAAAAGATTTGGCCACAAGGCAGAGTGAGGGGCCCGATGGCATTTAGGAAACCGTTCCATTCCCCCCAAAGCAAAAATTCAATCTTTAAAGTATCTCATATGATATTTGAACTACCGAATACAGGAAAAGAAGGGTTTCTTTTCTCATGTAATATATATTTTTTTACCATAGCTTTTTGAATCTGGCTCAGAAAAAGGGGGAAATTAGTGGGAAATTAGTTTTCCAAAGCTTTATTTTTCTATTTTCCAGAGAATGAATTGTTTTTCATGTCTTATTTTGAACACAGTCTTTTTCTGATTAAAAATCATAAATAAGTTTTTTAGTTTCTCAAGATCTATAATCTACCTTTTGAAAGTCTGGGTAAAATCTGCACACTGGAATAATAATTATTCTTTGGAAAGCTATATGTGCCTATTCACAATAGGAAACATGTGACAAGGTGTTTAGTTATGGTTTCAATCCGCATGAACTGGGGAGGGCTTTCACGTTAAATAAATCTTCACATATGTGACAAAAACAAGCTTCTATACACCACCGGTAATGCCAGCAGTGAAATCTGAGACCAGAAGTGCTAATGAGGGTGGAAAAAATTTGAAAATTTTAATATTAAGCTCTTATTTCTCTTTCTTTTCAAGCCTGCAGAGTTAAAAGCCTGATTTTTGGAGTTTTCTTTGGTACTGCTAATTTATTTCCAGTTTTAAGGACATTATACTGCTAATCTTAGAAAAACAAATCTCTTACTTGGAAAAAGTATACTTAGTTAGCCACAAATAAGACTATCATGACTCTATAGAAGGTCATAGAACTATTAAGTCAGCAACTTCCCATTCCCTGGACCAGTGGGTACCAACTTGTCTTGGATTGTTGATATCAGACATTACTCTCATGATGCAAGTTGTGCCGTATTTATCACCTCTCATATACCTTTGGCATGACTCAAACACAAATTGAAAATAAAAATTAAATCCGTGTATCTACTAAAATTCACTTTGATTCTCTTTTTTATCCTTTGGAGAAGGATACCAATGTCCCATTTGTTTAGCATAAATGGGGGTTGGGCTCTTCTATTAAATAGATTTTCTTGTTTGTTTCTCCAGAAATTTTACCTCTTCAGTTGCAGGCTTTAAAAACTTGCAGCCAGATTCTGTGGATATCTCTAAAATGTATGAGTTCCTTATCTACTTTTTCAAAAAAGGTACTGAATGCAACTCAGTCGTATCCTCCCAACCTCCGATCATTGTTCTAAACACGTGTCTTATGCTGCCCTGTATTCGGACATCTTGCAGGAGAATCACTGCTGAGGCGTGAAGGGCTCTGGAGGTGTGAAGGGCTGTGGTAAGGCTGAACAAAACCAGACTAGGTCATTTATGTTCTTGTAAAGGCTTCTGGAAATTGTGTGTGTGTCTATGTGGGAGTGTGCTCTCTCTAGTACCTCACCGTTGGTCGCTTTTAAGCTTCTGTGGTTGGAATACCTAACCCTAAACTTGTGGCTCTGAGAGAACCCACTAAGCTTCTTGTGTGTAAGCTTGGGTTTTGTGACATCTGCTTGGGTCATTTAGAGGCTGTGGTTGTTCCATTTCTCATTCTGGATTGTGTAGTAGATATATGAGATTGCCAGATTACTCACCTCTGAGTAAGTAGGCAATTTCTCTAATGTTATGCTTATTTTGCCAACTATTAAATGATTTCACAAGTCTCCATGGCAAATCTCCCTTCTATTATAGACCCTACTTCACTAATGATACTGCCATCTATTTCAATCACCTCATCAGAGGCACAGGTTGTGGCATGAGGCTTTGGGGTACGTGATTTGAAAGTCAGGTAGAGCTGACTTTAAATATCTGCTCCCTAACTGGATAATTGCATCATCTTAGGCATGGTCATTTATTTATCCCACTGATCCATTTAACAAAAATTTATTGAATATTTGCTATGTGCCAGGCGATGTTCTGGGCCCTTAGGGTGGAGTTCCTGGAAGCTATAGATCAGTTGGGGACAACAGGCAACAAACAAGTGAGTGATTATATGGTATGTCAAATGGTGGTGGGGCACAAGGGAGGTTGAGGACAGGGTGTGAGAGAGGGAGACAGGTCAGAGGATATTTACGAAAGCTGTTTCAGTGGAGTGCTTGGGAAGAAAGCCTAACAGGAATGCATTCGAGAGAGAATGGGAAGAGTGGGATTTGAGACACTCTGTATAGTCAACATTTCATAGAATTTTTGCAGTGGGGTAAGGCAGAGATGTATTTGGTAGCTGGGAGGGAATGTGGGGTCAAGTGAGGGTTTCATTTTAAGATCTAGCATTTTTGTGTGCTGTTGTGAACGACTCAGCAGACAGAGGGAAACTGAAGAAGCAGGGGAGAGAGGAAACAATTGCTGAAGTCGTGTTCTTGAGTTGGTGAGAGGGATGAAACCTCCCACACAAGTGGAGGGCTTGGTCTCAGCTCGGAGGCCATGAGTTTATCCACAGCCACAGGAGGGATGATGGAGGATCAGGGCACACATGCCCGTATGTCAGCAGACATGGTGGGGAGTACATCAAAATCTTTTCCTGTTGCTTCTGTTTTCTCAGTGAACAAGCAAGCAGTCTCAGCATCCGAGAGAGAAGGGGAGGAAGCGTCGGACGTGTGAGGACACAGAAAAAGGTACAAACTAACCGTGTAGAGTAGGCAAGTGAATGAGCTACTTACTTAAATACAGTTGAATCACCTGGAGGCTCTAAGGGACCATTTGAGATTAGTGATCATCAGCGTAAAGCTACATGAGTTAGTGGAAGCACTGGATATTTCTGCCTCCATCCTCTCCTCTACTATGTATGAATTTCTATTCCCAGCCCCGAGTACACTACCTTCTTATTATAGATTTTTTTTTTTTTTTGGTAAGTACGTACTGAATGGAGGAAGGAAAGAAAAATAAAAATTCTGCCTCTTATTTCCGTATTCAGTCCTTATAGATACGCTATTTCTGGCATTCAAAGATTAAAAAGCAAATCACTCTATACTTTGTATCTCTAGAGATAGATTAACAGTGATTTTTCTTTGGATTTACTTTGGAGATTCCATTTATTTTACTGAATATTTCTTATTTTTCTTCTGGTATGTCCGAATGATGAAGAACATTTCTTGGCGCCCCTTTAACAAGACAAAGTCAGAAAAGATTTATTTTCTAACAACTGTTTCCCTTCCAGATAATGGCAAATTACATAAAACATTTCTAGGTCAACCAAGGCAACTGAGAAATTTTGACTTTGACCACGGCTGAGGCAATTTGCTGTGGAGATGGCTGGAGGCACACACAGCCTCCTGAAGCCAGTTGGGGGGCTCTAATTGATTTCAGATGTGTTCCAAATAACACCGAAGATAAATGTCCCAGAGGTAGATTATTGGAGAGCTCTTTAGCTGTTTCTAATAAAACTTTCTTAAAAATTCCAAGTTTTTTTTTCTACAGATGCATATAATAATTCTAGCATGAACTAGAGGGCCTGAATGCAAACTACACATGTTTGTTAATAATTTTCCATTTCCCCCTAATAATGAAAGGAATTCATGGTTTTGGTATGAAAGCTGAAAATTATGGATAACTTTAAAGAAGAAAATAGAAAGAATCACCAGATATTTACATACATATATTTATCTAGTTGTGATCATATAAAATGAAGTTTTGTGTATATTAATTTTTATGTGATATATTATGAGCCTTTGCTCTCATCATTACAAATTTTTTGAAGTATGAATTCAGTAGTCTCATAATATTGTATAGTGGTGTCTTTTCTTCTCAGTTTTCCATGTAGTCTTGGGGATTCATAGAGGTGTCTTAAGGGCCACCACAGGGCTTGGGAGAAGCAAGAATTGGGAGAAGCAAGCCCAATGGATTCCATGGCTTCCCTTGCACTTTTCAAACAGGTTCACAATGAACTACTTTAGATACTGGGCTTCTGCACAAAATTCTCCTTAAAGAAGAGTTCCCAAGCATATCAAAATTTGAAATCAATTACCAGTGAGCCATAATTTATTTAATCATTTGGTATTTCATATTCAGTTTTTCTATAGTTCAAGTCATATCATGAACAATTTTGTACATACATATATATACATTCACACATAATTCCATAATATAGATATATTAAATATAATAATGTATAAAATATATGAATAAATATATATATTAAAAATGTTTAAAGTATGGGGGCACCTCCGTGGCTCAGTTGGTTGAGTGTCCAATTCTTGATTTTGGCTCAGGTCATGATCCTAGGATTGTGGCATCAGGCTCTGCACCGAGCACGGGGTCTCCTTAAGATTTTCTCTTTCTCTCCCTCTGCCTCTCTCCCCCACTCGCACACTGTCTCTCTCTGTCTCTCTCTCTCTCTCTTTCTCTGTCTCTGTCTCTCTCTCTCTGTCAAAAAAAAAGTATAAAGTATATAAATATATAATTATTTTCTGGGGTATGTAAATAGATAATGGGTATATAAATAGGTATATAAATGGACCTGGATAGTGAGTCAGACATAGTATGTTATATTGTGCTCTGTAAATACAGCCCAGAGTACGGTTGTGTATCTTCAACTCCTAATGGCAATGTGGGAAAAGACTTGTCTCATAGCACACAAATTGCATTTTCCTGGTGTTATTTTCCATTTGTTGGTGAAAAAGTAACACATCACTGTTATTTTAATAAGCAATTATTTTATTATGGTAAGACTAGCCTTTATTCACATGATTATAAGTGATATTTTCTTACACAAATTTTCTTTGCTACTATTTTTATTGGGAGCAGTGGTGTTTTTCCAATGGCTTTTAAGACTTAGAAGTATGCTTTGCATATTAAGGGTATCAACTTTTTGCCTTATTTGTGGTTGTTTTTCCAGTACATCACTTAAGTGTTATGATAGTTTTTATATCATTTAACATGCTTTATGGAGTCTAATTTATCAGTTATTTGCTTTATGAATCTTTCATGGCCTTTACACTTGGAAAATCTCTTTCCATTTACTTAGACATTCATCTATAATTTCTGATATTCCAAAAGCTTCATTAAAACATTAATATTGGGGTGGCTGGGTGGCTTAGTCGGTTGAGCATCCAACTTCAGCCCAGGTCATGGGCTCGTGGTTCATGGATTTGAGCCCTGTGTCAGGCTCTGTGCTGACAGCTCTGGAGCCTGAAGCCTGCTTCAGATTCTGTGTGTCCTTCTTTTTCAGCCCCTCCCCTGCTCATTCTCTCTCTCTCTCAAAAATAAATAAACATTAAAAAATATTAAAAAAAATTAATATTAATTCACAGGATTTCCTTGGGATCAAGATATGCTTTGTTTTAAATTTATAATAGCTAGGGGCGCCTGGGTGGCGCAGTCGGTTAAGCGTCCGACTTCAGCCAGGTCACGATCTCGGGGTCCGGGAGTTCGAGCCCCGCGTCAGGCTCTGGGCTGATGGCTCGGAGCCTGGAGCCTATTTCCGATTCTGTGTCTCCTTCTCTTTCTGCCCCTCCCCCGTTCATGCTCTGTCTCTCTCTGTCCCAAAAAATAAATAAATGTTGAAAAAAAAATTAAAAAAAAATAAATTTATAATAGCTAATTTTAATGTTATTTTTTTGAATAACCCATACCAGCTTTATTGGATTATTAATGTAGGAGAATGCACTGATTTTATATATTGACCTTTTATACAACAATTTAGCTAAATTGTGTTGTTTGCTCTGGTAGTTTACATGAAGAGTTTCTTGGAGTTTCTGAATGTTAAAAAATATCATCAGGAAATAATTGTTTTGTTTCTTCCTCTCCAACCTGTATGCCACTTATCTTTTCTTCTTTCCTTACCCCTCTGGCTAGGGCATCTGGTACAATGTTGAATGGAAGTATTGATTGTGAGTACCCTTATCGTGTTCCTGTCTTTGAAGCAATGCTAACTTCTCACCATTCAGGGTTATTGTTATAGGTTTTCAGTAGATTCTGTTTATCAGGTTAAGGAAGCTCACTTTTACTTTTATTTGCTAGGAGTTCTTTAAAGTCATGAATTATTTTTGAATAATAAAAAATAATTTCCCTCATCCATTGATATGTTCATTTCTTCCCTATTCTATTTTGTGAAAGTGTTTAGATTAAACTAATTAGGTTTTCAGATGTGAACCCATCTGCAATTGAACACCATGTATTATTTATTTTATACACTGCTGGATTCAATTTGATAATATTTTATCTAGGTACTTTTTGATTTATATTTTTAAATAAGACTGGCCAATTCTCCTTTCTTGCAGTAGTACCTCCTTATACCTTGGAATCAAGGTTATATAAGCAATACAAAGTGAATTGGGGAGCATTCCTTATTTTTCCATCTTTTGGAAGAGAATATTTGATGGAGTTAGTCTGCAAAACCAAATGGGCCCAAGTAAACACTCGGTGTATGAATGTGTGTGAGTGTGTGTGTGCATACATATTTCACAATAATAACAAATTTATTCTGGCAGGTTGTCTGCAGAAGTAGACATGAGCAATGGGACAATGTATACACATGAAAGTCCTCCAGTCAAGAATTAGTCTATTCACCATTTTTTGAGCGTGGGCTGGTGTGCCTTGCTTTGGCCAATAGAAGCAGCTTTGGTTGTGCTGTGCTACCTGTAGGCCTTTGAAGACCAGACAGCTTGGGTTCCGGTTCTCTTGACATTATCAGCCGCTGTGTAAAGAAACTCACACTAGATTACCAACAGAATCCAGGGGGAGAGATATTGATGGTGGGGGAGGGAGAGAGATGAGTGTGTGGGAGAGAGAGAGAGAAGAGGGGAAGGGAGGTGGGTGGGGGACAGGGAGGAAGGCCTAGCCAGTCTCAGTCCAATCCTGCCACCCCAGATGAAGCACCAGACACATGGTAAAAGCCATCTTGGAACATCCAGCCCCAGCTGAGGTGCTGTAGTCCACACAATATGAGGTGGAAATAAACTGCCTATTCAGAGACATACAAAAATTTCAGAATCATGAGAAGCAATGAATGCTTTTTATTTATTTATTTATTTATTTTTTTAACGTTGATTTATTTTTGAGACAGAGAGAGACAGAGCATGAACGGGGCAGGGGCAGAGAGAGAGGGAGACACAGAATGGGAAGCAGGCTCCAGGCTCTGAGCCATCAGCCCAGAGCCCGATGCGGGGCTCGAACTCGCGGACCGCGAGATCGTGACCTGAGCTGAAGTCAGACGCTTAACCGACTGAGCCACCCAGGCGCCCCAATGAATGCTTTTTATACTAAATTCAAATGTTATCCTTGGGTCCGTTTCTGTCTCTTATCATTTATGGGATTGGTATCATCGGGCCTTTTTTCCTGCCCGTCTCTCACATTGCTGTTAATATTATTTCATTACATATTTTACTCTGGTAGTGCAATTCCCTTGTTTTATTCTGGATTAAAAAAATTTGTAGCTATTCCTGTCTCTTTTTTCATTCAGGTGAACTTCAGAATATTTTTGTCAATTTTCTAAACCCTTGGGAATTTAGAATTACATTAAAGTTATTAGTTATTTTGGGAAGGATATTTGCATTATTATCTTTACAACCCAAATCATGATTTGTCTTTTCATATTTTCAAATACTTTTGCATTCCTTAGTAATTATTGTAGTATTTACATTTATTACTTAATTCTTCACTCACTCATTCATTACTAATT